AGAGACATGAATAGCAATTTATAGAAGGGAAAACCCACATAGCCAAAAAATCATAAAAGAAGTTCAAATTCTCTAATAGGCAAGAAAATAAACACTATTTATTAGAAATATTATATTTTAGATATTTTAGACTGACAAAACTAAAAAGTCCTTTAATACTTATTATTGAAATAGATGTAGGGGAAAAGGGTAATTTAGTTGTTAGTGAAATGTAACTATGTTACACCCTTTTGGAAGGCAATCTGGCAACATTAAATAAAAATAGAAATATACAACACATATATGCATATGAATATAAACATAAATATAATCCATTACCTAGCAATTCCACTTGGAATCTATCCCATATAAACAAAACAACAGACTGTGGAGACATATGTAAAAATGTTTATTGTAGCGCTGTCTTTAGCAGCAAAACCTGGAAGCAAAGTGAATTTTCATGATTAGGAAATGGAGTGTATGGTGCCTCCATAACATAAGAATAATATTTAGCCATTGAAAAGAATGAGTCAAATCTATATCTGTTGACCCTGAAGACAATGTTCTGAGTGAGAAAAACAAAATTCAGACAATAGTGAAAGTCTTATATTTGTATATACTTACATGTATGTGTATTGTGTGTGTTTGTATTTCTTTTATATAGTATGAAAAGACCTGGACAAATTCGGAAGGATTTATACTAACCTGTCAACAGGATTTCCTTTGAGACTGGTGGGCTTGTGTTGAGTGCCAAGGAGGGCCGTCACTAGAAAAGAGAGGGGAGGAAAACAGGTTAAGGAAAAAAATATTAACTCTTGATGGAAAAAAGCATATTTAGTATCTTATCTATACATTTGTGCAAAGCTATCCCTATGTGGAGAAGAAAGTCACTACTTTATAGAAGGGGCAATGTTAGAGAAGGTCTCTCCTCAGAGCATGTGTCTAAACCAAGGGATACCTTCTGCTACTGTATGGAAGAAGCTTTTTCCTTAATGTGAACCCATCATAAAGATGTGTTGTGTGTGTGTGTGTAAGAAATTAACTCTAGCAATGCATACATATTTCTAGGACATGGCTACCTGTCGTGGAGAACCAGAAGCAGGAAGGAGAGTCACCCAGGCTAGCTTCATCCACATGTCCAGATGTCAGGGTGGGGGGAGTGCAGATCCTTGACCACCAGACTAAGAAATGTAGGTTTTCCTCTAAGTGAGCTGGGCAGTCCCTGGGATGCAAAACAGAGTGACATGGTTTGACATCTAAAACTTCTATCTGGAATATTCTCCTTTTCACCCTCAGCCTTAACACATTCCCCAGGCTTCTCTGCAGATATAATTTTCTACCCTCCTCCCTGATTCCCTTCATTGTCAAGGTTAGATGCCTCCACCCCATCTTCTCTTCTTGTGCAGAGCCTAGCACCTTTACTAATCATAACGTCACCAGAAAGGGACAAGGACTGAGGCGGGTCTGCCCCTGCACAGTCTGGAATGTGTAGGTTCTTGACTTTATGTAGAAAAGATTTCACAGCATGAGTCCAGGTTATTTTGAGAGTATGTCTTTTAAAGCTGGGGACAGGGAAACAAAGGAAAGTCTTAAGAGAGAAGAGGCAATACCACAGCAACAGGAGTGAGCCTAGACTGGGCTGCCTAAACTCAGGAAAGGAAGTTACAGTAACAAAAGTGAGCCACCACGCTGGGCTGCATGGACTCAGGAAAAGAACTGAGCCACACTGGGCTGTGTGGACTCAGGAAACAAGTTAAAGAGGCAAAAGGAAAGTCCTGAGAGACAGGTTCATAGGGTTAGCCCAGGATCAGCTGCTGCTGCCCTCTGACCCCCTGGTTGCAAGTCTTGTGGGGAACCTTAGAATTTAGGAGAAAGAAAGTAAAAGTACGCACCTGAGGAGAGGAGGGGCTCTCAAAAGAGAGCTTGCACTGGGTTATTTGTCTTAAGGGTTCTTACCTGTTTTCCAAAGGTGGGAGTTTTAGGGGATATCTCAGGGGAGGGTCTCAACAAAATAGTCAATAGCTTTCCAGGTGTGTCCTTTAATATGCTGATGCATCAAAATGAGCCTACAGGGAGTTTAGGATCATGCTCAGCCACCTTCAGTGTTTTACGTTGGATTTGTCTTGCTCTAATTGGGTTTTTGTTATTTATTCCCTGACTTCATTGGTTCTGGGTTTTGGCTGGCACTGATGGCACTAACTGGGTCTCTGTTATCTTTCTCCTCAACGAGGGTGATTTAAGTTACTCAGGCTCTGGTTGGGAAGGAGAGGAATAAACCATCTGCTCCTAAGTGTCCTTGGTTAGGGAAGATAAGATCTTTCGATCTACTAGCAGGTTGTTAATTGCTCCACCTTATTTAACTATTTTTTCTCAATTTCCTCCATTCCACTTGCCAGGGAATCTTCCTCACTTCTTACTATCCTGCCTCAGTAGTACTGTCTGTTTGTGTAGTTGTCTGTTTTTCACTAGATTGTAAGTGCTTGCCGGACCTTATCTCCAGCACAGCATCTGGTTCAAGATACTGACTTGCTCTACTAATGGAGAATAAATGGATAAATTCTTATTTTTTAGCTTAGTTTTTCTTTAGTTTCTTCCCTCCCCCGAAGCATTGAGTAAAGTTCCTTTAGAAAATGTCAGCCTGCCTCCGCTGAACAGGGAGAAAGAGAGAAAGGCAGCTTTATACAGCTGGGGAGGAAACATCAAGGATGGACACGTGGCGCACATACCCCTCTCTGCCAGGTGGTGGAAGCCACTGTGAGAGACCCAGTGGAGGCGTTCCCTTTGCTGTCCCCTAAATAAGGGGGCGCCGTTCTCTTCGCGGCCTCACTGGAGTTTTCTCCTTGAGGTTTAGGGGTCCTTGGAGGACAGAGCTGTGTCAGGTGCAGTTGATATAAGGCTGAAATTCCAGGCTTCGACAAAACCAGAGTGAACTTGCAGATTTCCTGCCCCGGGAGAGGATCCGATTTTAGCTCGGCATAAATCTCGGTAATAAATTTCGAAGCTTTAAAAAGCTTCCGAGACACACTTGACGCACTCGCTGGAGACGCGAGCAAGCAGGCAGGACTCGTGCGTAAACGCCGCTCCTGAGAGAGTGCGGGCCTGCGCCCACCCGAGCCTGGCGTCCGCGCCCCCCGGTTCCGAGTCCCCGCAGTGAAGGGGGGAACCGCGGGCGGAGAGGTAGATGCCCCCAGAAAGGCTCCGAAGGTTCCAGTCTCCGGGGAACCGCCTGTCTGGCTCCAGCCTGGCTGGAACGCGCTCCGAACCTCAGCCCATCGCGGCTTCTCCAAAAACGGTTCGCACCGACTGGCGAGCCCTTCCCACCTCCCCCGCAGTGCCCAGTACCAGCTCGGCTGTTTGAAATGGCCTCGTACCGGGAGACCAGGCTCGGAAGCCCGCCAGGGAGGGGTGGTGAGGGTGGCAGGGGTTGGAGGGAAGGGAGAAAAGGCTGGCAGACCTGCCCTTCAGTCCCCATTCAAACCTGGGAGCGGCGAGAGGGAAGAGTCCACTCACCCACCCCCAGCCGCACACACTCGCCACCCAGGTCCCCGCTGTCGCCTGCAAGCCCGGAGGCGCGGAGGCAGAGGCTGCTAGGTCCCCAGGCGGCGGACGCGGGGCCGCAGTGGGCGCTGGCTGCGAGCCCGGAGCNTGGCGAGGCCGCAGTGGGCGCTGGCTGCGAGCCCGGAGCCGCGCGTCTGGGCGACACCCTGCTTACGGGTGGCTCCTGCGCTCCCCGAGCTTGGCAGCGAACTCAGCCCAGTCCCCACTGCCTGCGCCTGGGGCTCATCTGGGGAGCTCAGCTGCAGTTTTTCATGGAGAGGGGGGCCAAGCTACCAAGGAGGCTGGGGAGGGTGTCCCCAAAGCTTAGAGCCTCTCCCTGCTTCCCAGGGGACTCGGCCCGCCAGGGAAAGGAGCTAGGGATTTTGGAGGTGTTTTCTAAACACGACCTCAGGAAAGTTATTTTCCGGAAACCCGGACCCAGCCGTCCTCCCGCCTGGATTCTGGGAAGCTGGAGCCCGCGCACCGTGCGCTCGGGCTGAGGCGCGAGCCCGAACGCCGCGGGGAGCTCGGCGCTGGCAGGTCGCCCCACACTTGCCCGACTCCCCGGGCACAGGCAGGCGCCTACGCGGCGCTGTCGCAGCGCTCCGGGCTGCCCTCCCTGGAAGCTGAGTGCCCATGGCTAAGGGCTCTTTCGCAAACCCTTCCTTTCCCGCTTCGGTTCCCGCCGCCACCCGACTGGCGCAATTACTCCGACGACTCCTAGCGCCCCCTGGCGGCGCGCGGGGCGCGGGCTTGCGGCCGCCACAGCAGGTAGCTGCGGAAGGCGTGGTGGCTGCGACGCGGGAGTGAGACAGTTGCCAACAGCTGGGGCCTGGCGAACGCACAGCCCAGGTACTGCCCCTTCCCGGTGACGTCTGTGCAGCCGGCTAATAAAAACCTCGCGCGCAGCCTGCCGAGGTGCCGCTAACTCCCAAGCCGAGCCGGACCCGAGCCAGGAGGCGCCCGCGACGCCGCAGGAGGCGGTGGCGGCGGCGGCAGCGAGAGCAAAGGGAAATTTTCCGGCTGGACACGAAGCTGCAGAAGGCCGGCCATGGACTCAGAACTTTTATGGGTCGCCCTGTGACGAGCACCCCCTGTGCCCCGAGTCCTCACGAAGCACACAGCTCTGCCTTGCCCGCTGCAGGCAGGGCGCCTAGGAGTTGAAAGCAGCCGCAGGTGCGGAAAGGCGCGGGAGGGGGGCGGGGTCTCCTGCCCCCTGGAACGGTGACCCACGGGATTTCTTTCCCGTTTTCCAGCCCCACGCAGAAGATACGCTGCCTCCAGATTTCCGAACCCAAATGCCTCCTGCAGCTTGAAAGTGGAGGAATCCAGTGCCACCGGGGGCAGGCAGGCAGCGCGCCGCAAGCGTTCGTCTTGAGAGCGCCAAGTCTCTGGCTTGCACGCGAGGGTCCTGCGGGAGAGCGCCCGCAGCCGTCCCAGCGGGGGGGGGGCCTGGCCCCGGCGCCCGCCCCGGGACTTTGTGCGCAGCGAGGGCGGCGTACCCCTCGGCCGAGGCATGGATAACGTCCTGCCGGTGGACTACGACCTGTTCCCAAACGTCTCCAGCAACGCCTCGGAGCCCAACCAGTTCGTGCAGCCGACCTGGCAGATTGTCCTCTGGGCGGCCGCCTACACGGTCATCGTGGTGACCTCCGTGGTGGGCAACGTGGTGGTGATGTGGATCATCTTGGCGCACAAGAGGATGAGAACCGTCACCAACTATTTCCTGGTGAACCTGGCCTTCGCCGAGGCCTCCATGGCCGCCTTCAACACCGTGGTGAACTTCACCTACGCGGTGCACAACGTCTGGTACTACGGCCTGTTCTACTGCAAGTTCCACAACTTCTTCCCCATCGCCTCGGTCTTTGCCAGCATCTACTCCATGACGGCCGTGGCCTTGGACAGGTGAGCTGCCCCTTGTGGAAAGCGGAGAAAGGGTCCCCCGAGGCCCGTGGCTTTGCAGGGGCTCCCGGGGTGGGTTGTGCCTGGAGCCAGGTGGAGGTGGCAGGTCACCCGTCCTCTGGGATTTTTACTGACAGCCAGTTGTTGGGAGGGGGGCAGGGGGGCTTTGTCTTATCTCACCATTTTCATCTCTATCCCTCTTTCTGTTTTTCTTCCTCTCGCCCATCACCAGCCTCCCCTCCTTTCTTCACAAAACTCCCTCTTGTCTACACTCAACCCTGTTTTCTTCATGCCTTTGCCACTCGCCTCCCGGGCACTTTTCTTTCCACTCCTGCTTTGCTTCTTTCCATATATTTCTTTTCTCCTTTGCCCTGAAAGCCTGAAGGGGATGGATACCCAGGGCTTGGCCGGGGTGTGGGTTCCTGCCTGGGACTTTGTAAAGCCCTGCAGGCTGCTTCTGGGAGGCCTCTTGGTGCCTCCCAGTTTTAAGTATGCCTAGCCAGAATTTCTCAGTTTTCACCTTTTCGTGAAGATGCGGGGGCTCGCTGCTCCCACCTCAACTTTCCAATGTTATTTGGATGTGAAGGGCGTTCCATTGAATCGGAAATACTCAGAAGTATAAGTCAGCTTCCTCTACGCTGCTAGGAGTTGTCGTTCAGAAATGAGAGGCAGCTACGCTGTTCTTGAGGCGCTCCACGGACAGGGAGCCTACCAGGAGCTTTTCTATGTTCCTCCTGTACTGTGAGGTCAATGCTTTTAGCCTGTCTGTATCCACAGAGAAATGTGCTTGGCAAAGGCTACCGAGAGCTCTTTCTTTCCTGCAACCAACAGGTTAGGGTTTCAGAAGTTGATTGAAAGTGAAAAGGTTGGCATTTTCAAGCACGGGGGCTAGTGCTCTGGAATGAATGGCCCCTCAGGTGGCATGAGGGAAGATGGATTGTTAGAGCACAGCCCTGTTTGCGTTGACTTTTTTGTGGGTGTCCTAGGTATCTCGAGTGTGTATCTATGCGTGCATCAGTGTTAAATGTTTACGGGGGATGTAGAGGTATGTTTAAAACACCTGCCACTGGGATTTTAAAATGGGTTATTTGACCAGCCTTGCTGAGATAAATGAATGTGAGAAACCCAAAGAAGGAGCTAGAAGAAAAACTTCCAAAAAAAAATAATAAATCTAAAAGTACTAAACCTTTTTGCTAAAGATTGTTTACGATTTGCAATTGATTTAAGGTCTTTTTCAGCTTCTATAGTGAATGAACACTTCTAAGATCAGAGAAAGCTATGTTTCCTCTGAAGTGGTGTCCAAATGCTGATTTCCACGTTCCATGTACACCACCCCTTGTGCAGGTCTTATGTGCTGGGTATGCTGTGCGTAAGACAACTTGTGGAGAATCCATTATATCTTAAATGTAGAAGGCAAACCAATTACTCAACGTGTTAGTGAAATGAATTCTTTTGTGAACGTATCTTTTATGCTACTCTGGTTTTCAGATATTGTTTGCTGAAAGTGAGATACACTTGCAAATCTTTCTGCACTGTCCTGCTGCTTTACCTCACAGCAGGCCCCTTAAACTTAGAAACCCCATAGCGTGATAAATAACTGCATATAGGTGCAGTGAAAACTGATATTAGAGCGAAGGCTGGTATTTTTACTGTGTTGGGACGTTGTGTGCGCTCACGAGAACTGCCAATCAGTATGAACACCACTGGACAGCTCTTCGGCTTTGACTTCCACAGAAATGGCATGTTCCACAGCCCTGCTCTCTCTTTGAACTTAGAAGATTATCGGTGGGAGTCAGGGTCCGTCTTCACAGTGGACTGGGCAGGGAGCTGTCTTGACTCCGCCATCTCAAGCTTCACTGTTGTTTTCCAGGCAAATCATAGGCAGGACCCTGACCCTGCATGATCCCTGCTCAATAAGGTCAGAGGGTCTCTGGTGCCAAAACGGAGGGAAATGACAGCACCAAGAAATGTCCCCATGTCCCTAATGTACAGATACAGCCCAGGGACATTATCAACAACATGCTCAAGGCTAGAGTTCAAGATAGAGTTAAGGACTAGGTGTCAGGGCTGTGTCTCCAAGTCCCCCCAGTGTTCCTTCTATTTTTCCTTGCTCACCTCTTGAACACACAGTGAATTAATCCCTCAGGCCCTCTGAAGAATGTAGCTCCCCTGCATTTGTGGTCATTCATCCTCTCCTCAGAATGTTTTAGAAAGGAAGGGCCTTAAGCTCTCTCCACATGAGTGATCCCTCCCTTGCCCAGCATGGCAATGCAGGCTGTGAGAAAATGGTAAGCTACTTTTCGTATGTTCCTTAAATCTTTCACAGATAATCTTTGACTCAAGTCTTAAAAAATGAAAGCAACATGGTTTTTCTGATTATAAAATTAAACCTTGTTCACTGCAGAAAACTGGAGTGTGAAGAGCATAGACACAAAAATACAAACCAACCATTACTTTCCTATGCAAAAATAATACTTGTTAATATTTGAATTTCTCTTATGCCTATTACTACATAACGGAGGTCAGATTCTATGTAATTTTGGAGCTTACTTTTTTCTATTGATATTAATGGAAAATATTACTGACATCTCCCCATGATACTAAAAAGTCTTCAGTAACATAATCTTAATGGCTTCCTATTTTTCTGTTATATGAATGGGCTATCATTACTTTAAGGACCCCCTACTGTTAGGTATTTAGGTGATGTCTAGATTTTTTAATTTTTGCTATTATGTATGATTAATTCACTGCTACACATTTCTGCATAATAATTTTGTTTTGTTTTGTTTTTTTATTATTTTTTTAGGATAGATTTCCAGAAGTGGAATCACTGAGCCAAATGAAATGAATTTGTTTTTTTTTTTTTTTAAGTTTCCTCCTAATTTTAAAGGATTATAAACTCTGAGCAAAGCAAGGAACATGTCTGTTCTCTTGTTTACTTTATCTCCTCAGCACAAAGCAGGGAACTTGGCACCTCACAGTCACTGCATGTTTATTGAAGAAGTGAATGAATGACTAAAATAATACAGGTTTCTAGAAGAACATTTGAAAAATGCATAAAATTATAAAGAAAATGTAAAATTATCTATAATTCCACTCTGGTACATAATAGTCAGACTTGTTAAATGCTAGTTTATGCTTATTTTTTCTGTGTTGTTTATGCCCCATACAGTCACTCACAGTTTTAAGGATAAATTTGGGGCCATAATAAAAACACTTTCAATAGCTGCTTTTCTGTTTTTCTTTTGTTCCTTAACATTATATCCTGGGCATTTTTCGTGTCATGAAATAGTTTTAAAAATAAGATTTTTAATGGATGCATTATATTGCATGGCTCTAATCATGTAGTTAAGCATTCCTTTATTTATAGGTGTAAATTGTTGCCATTTGTAATGATTACGAGTAACTCTGAAGTGACTATCCTGCATATAAATCTTTGAGAACATTCCTTGTTCTTTCCTAAAAGAATCTCATTGAAGTGGAATTGCTGGGTCAAACTGTCTTGATAAACTTTGCCAAATTTCCTTCTAGAACCAAAATATATGCACAGAAAAAAAACATCAGCAGCAGATTTTAGTACTAATTTAGATCTTTTCTATAATCTTTCTGTAGAATGGGGAAAGAGAGTTCCTTCAGAAGAATACTTATTTACTGAAGGCAATGGTCACTTAGCATAAGAGTTGCAGAGACAAATACACCTAAATAAGATTAGGTCTACCTCTCATTAAACATTAACAGCAGGGATTTTATTTTTTGGAACTCTGTAATTTTCCCACTTAAAATAAAATTTAACTTTTTTTCCTATTGTAAAAACCAAAAGGTGTATGTAATGCTTCATGAAATTAGAAGCCAGAGGACACTGAGAGGTGACACCTGCATTTTGCAAGGGCTGGTAATAGTAGCCAGTTCTGGTATTGTGAGGCAGCACCTAAGGAGAGAGGAGGGGGGCGAGTCCCTAAGCCCTTTAAGAGGAGCTATAGGGACAAAAGGTAACCTGGCTTGGCATCGAGCACATAGCAACAGGAGGCTCAGAAAAGCACCAGCCTGGTAACACTGCTTCTCCACCGGGTAGGCGCAGGTATCAATGCAGCGAGATGAAAAGGGAAGGTTGCTCATCACTCAGGCTGGTTCTGGATACGTTATGTTTGAGCAAAAGGAAACATCCAAACGATGATGGTCTCTGGACACTATGAAATGTGGTCGGGACCAAAAATAGAGTTGCTCAGATGGGGGTAATGGTGAAGACAAAAGGAATGAACTCTGAGAGAGTAAAAGAGGATCCAAGAATAAATAAATGCATAAATAACAAACACTCCGCCCACTGATCCCTGGGGTCCATGCCACTCTGCCCCAGTCATACTGAGCTACAAGTCTAAGCAGCCTGCTGCATTCTGTCCTTGAACCTCACCTTGTGGACTAGACTTGGATTCCACTGTATAACTCAGGGCACCCCTTCCCCACCCAGAGGCCGGACTTAGATTCTAGGATCCTTTTACACTAGTTTAGATCGACCTTAAAACCCACACCAAACACCCCTGTGACGCTGAGAAGGGTCATTCCCTAGAAGCTTGCCCACCACAACTGTCCCCGTCTTTTCAAATCAGGTGCCTCAAATTTGTTTCATGTTGGATGGGTTACTTAGGCTGCAGAACCTCTCCTCGAGAGACTCAATGCCCACCTGCTCCGTGGAGTTGCCCTGGTGCACTTACCACGTCCTCTCTCTACTCATGGGAGCCCCCAGTGTCCTGAATGGTCGAGGCCTTTCTTTCTTTTTTTTTTTTTTAAACTGTCAGAAGCAAAAGTTCAGTTGTGGGGAAATAAAGAGTAATTCTCAACTGAAATCACATAATAGATACGCAAGACTTTGTAACTATTATTATTGTTGTTGTTGAATTAGCAAATGATAGATGAGAGAGAAACACCAACTGTTAAAGTTGGACAAGATCTTTAGTCCATCAGAGGGTAATGCCACCAAGTAAGGTGATTTTTCCTAACTCTGGGCC